TTATTCTCTAGTGATCAGTTTCATGATGGCTTCATCAATGTTGTGATTAGAAGTGTTTATCTATGATGTTAACTAGTGAATAATAATTTTATCTCTAAAGTATTATTCCTCAAATTTATGATGACTAACTTACGCCTGTTACTACTTGTGAAGGAACATTCTCCATCCAGAAACGCTTAAAAATGAAGACAATAAAATAGAAAAGTAATTAACTTACCGTAATCAAATCTACTGATGTCCGATTATATCGTACAAATTGAAATACAAAGTTAAAAATATCATTTTCAACATTGTATGCGATAAATGATTGACTTGTCAGCTTTCTAGGTCTTACTGATGTTCCAAATTTAGTTGATTTTTCTTTTCGTGAATTCTGTAATCCATAAGTTAATGGTAAGGATGATGTTGAAGATGATGATGATGTCAGTGAGATATAATTGTAAGGATCCTTCTTTCGATTAGCTACTAACGGCGAAAGAATATAATGTGCCACTGAAGGAACATGACGTTTTTCTCGTTCAAGTAGTTTACTGACATTAATAAATATAAATGGATCATTTGTAGTATCACTATTGTTGTGCACATCCGAAGCACTTCTATTCCGATAACTTACATTCCGTGATCTTTGTTCTGAATTCTGATGGTCTAATTTATGATTAATAACATTATTATTATTATTCCGTCCAAGCTTTATAGTTTGCTAAATTTAAAACAAAGTAACACCATCCAATTACATGACTTGCACTTCATTTTAGATGAACAAATAATCGAATAAAAATATTTGGCTTAACAGGAAATCAATCAAACAAACTAGAAATTTCTGATTCTCAATACGGAAGTCATCATTGTAAAATCAATCTAAATGATAATACTTGACACCTAACATGGCCTAATTCATCATTTACAGTTATGATAGGTTGTAAGTTGATTGACTAGTTATTTCAACCTAGTAGTCATGAATTTTCATTGAAGTCATATAACTCAAATGAGATTTTTCCTGAAAGAAGAAAACCGCATACTACTAAAATATCGCCCAACACAAAAAAGTAGCGTTTATCAGTAATTAATTTATGTGCCATAATTTTTGAAGAAATTCTGTTACTGATTGAATGTTAAGCTATACTTGGAGAATTGAAGACAAATTCATAATAAACGATTTGTTTACTAGCTATGATTATTTAGTAAACCAAACAAGCTGGAGCTTTATAAGGAGAGATGGATGATGGCTTGCAGTGGAATCCAGGAAGTACGTTTCGTCCGATTCGGGACCCGACAGCCAAATATACATGCATCCCAGAGTTAAGTTACAATCCACACAACATGTACATGTGCCAAAGTGACCGATCAATTCCGGTCCTAAGCATAAATGATTTAAACAAGCAAAGTAAATGAATTAAACTAGGGTTTATCTAATGTTATTACATGATACATAAAACACAATTGTCCACTTACTACGACTCCTTAGTTTTTAAATAATTTACTCTTAAAATTTCGTAATTGTATTACTTTTAGAGGATGTGATATTGAATGGTTCTGTGAGTACATATAATTCGCTGTTATTTACTTGGTGATACTAGGCTATACTTCACATTACTTGCCTAATTCTTATGGATTGTCATTTTAATTGAGTGACCTTCCATGTACTAAATAAACCATACCCAAAGAACAGCTTATTTACGGGTTAAATGAAAGTACCTGATCTCAATGATGCAATGGAAGTAATCCTATAAAGGCAACAATAATTGGACGTCATAAATAATTATCAGGCAGTTCCAGTTTAATATTTTTACACTGCATTACACTGAATATATATACGTTTGTATAGCATAGGTACTTGACAGGAGAAAAGGATTACTAAAATCAATAATTAGTTCAGATAGGTTTCTGAACTCATTTAATAACCATTAATTTAGTGCATGTCTGTAACATTTTAAATAATTCGATCGTATATTTAACATGTCCAAAATATAATTCTGAAAAGATAGAAAAATTAAATCGATGAGAAATGTAAGACAGGCAATAGTAGTAATAAGGCGAAAAATAGTGTTATCATATTACCATAAAGATTAAGATGAAAATCAATATTATCAAGGTGGGATTAATGTAACAATAAACTGTTTCTAAATACATGGGAAAGGATTAAATGGTTCCGTTACCAAGGTATCAATAAATCTGGGTATTATTCTCTAATCAGTTCCCTTTGATATTTTCAACATAAAATAACTTTCGATGCACTTGCTTTTGCAGTTACTTAGGGAGATTTTTAACTATCCTCAATTGTATTACACACTTAGTCATCATGGTAAATATGGTTATCGACACTGAATTTAATATGTAATAACCGTTCATATACTTTCTAGTTTATGCTCAAAATGGAAATTCAGTATTCACATTAGTGATGACCTCGCAAATACCTAGTTAATTATTCATTTAAAATTAAGACTACATGCTTCACATATGAATGTCAAGATCACCGAGATATCATTGTGAGGAACAGAATACAATTATTCAAAAATAAAAGTAATTTTAATTACATACTAATATCAACTAGAGAGATTAAAAAAATTAGAAGTATTTATACAACATTTTATTGTCTTCAGACTATTCAGAAATGCTAAACCTCGATTTCATTTTGGGTCCTGAGCTGAGTACGAATTACATTCAACTGCCGAATGAAAATTTAAGGTTACATTACATGCTTTCAGTTAATTGGTTCCATAGAATAAACACTATTCAATATCATCAATGTTTAATTCTAAATCATTCAATTCCACAAAAATTCCGTTAATGTCTCTAGAAACTAATTTCAAATGGGCCTACAATTATTATTGAGTTGATTACTTTGTAAAGGTTATCATATTATAGAGTTTATATAGTAGTAAATATAATAATTCGTAATCCTACATAAGTGAATAATATCACACATTTTTTCAAAGTTCAATTAGGGTTTGATACTGATGTTTGTTTTATCGTAACAGATAACCATTAAATCTTCTCCAAATTTAATACTTTGATGTATTCTTGAAATGTTTACTATCGGTTACTAAGACTACTTAACAACTAAAGCTAATTTATTATCAATGATTTGCATTTCCCCGCTATTAATATTCAGGATTACAATCTATCAATATCTACTCGCATGTATGTCTGTTTTATTAAAGTAATGTACAAAAATATACGTTACATGTGACTTAATTTCTAAAATTACATTCAGTTATTTAAAAAAGAAGAAAATCAAATTACAAAATATCAGTCAGTTAAGTGTTCGAAAGAACATGAAATAAATTTTTTTTGAAAAAAACTTAATTTGGAATAAGACTAATATTCCACTATTATTCTGAATGTATAAATAGTAGATCGATTGAAACGATAGTAAATCTAAAGTGTTTAATACATTTGTTACTCACTCCGATATACTACACATTATGAAATAGGGGTAATTTGAATAAATTCTAGGTAGAACCGTTTAAATATCAACTGTATCAAAGTACAGCGACATGTATTTGTATCATATTCTACTGTAGTGTACGAGAACACAAGTGAGGACAATCGAATGTACTTGAATACAAAATTACAGAGCATCTTAGTTAAATCTCAAAACCATACAGTAAACACTTCATTTGCAAAATGTCAGTCAATCGTTTCAGACTTCGCTGTTCTTTCATTTTCATACCAATCATTCTTTGTTCTCGTTCTCTTTTATTTGATTTTCTTAACCTTCTGCCTTCAGGCATTTCATTTTCGATTGATGATACATACTACTTATATCTGTCGACATCAGTAGCACACACCACACTACTTTGTTTAGAAATAACTAATAAGCACTTTGTAGTTATGTGCTGATAAATATTCCTGAATAAAAATATTCTGTCTATATATATATATATATATATATATATATATATATATATTTGACAATGTTAACAGCCTCTGAGTAGAATCATATGACTATTTGTTTTAAAATGTCATTTATTCATAAAAGTATCCTGATTTCGTTATGTATGTAAATTATATTTGAAATAATCTACATATATAGAGACTTCTCTATATTCAGCGCCCAATTTCTGTCAAACTATTCGTTCTAATCTTGTCGAATATTCGTATAAATATCCTGATTTCGGTTTGCGATTAGAAGATAATTTCACATTGCATGATGATTTAGTGGTTACAAGTTAAAATCCCCTCACTTTAAGCAACCAAACTAAAAAAGACCATGGGACTATAATTTATCGATGACCTTTGAACAACGCTAAAATGACCTTGAAAATGTTCATCTTCAGTTAAATAAAGGTCACAGATTAGTGTGAGAAATTAGAATTCGGATTTATAGTTGAAAGTTAAGAATAGAAATTAGATTCAGTGGTTTCATCACGAAATGACATAATCTATAATGCTGAAATAGTATTTAGCGAAAAGGAATGAATAAATTTCAAGCCAAATTCTAAGATCTACTATCTTAAATAATAACTGATTTATCCATAAATTATAGTTTCACTGATAAAACATATTCTTACTATATAAACAGATCTTTATAAAATAATAATAATAATAAAATGATTTCTATTGATAAACCACTGTGACTTACCGTGATATTTATATTTCCTATTTCTTTATTATTATTATTATTATTATTACTATTTGTTTTATATACTTTTTTCATTAATCTATTTTTAAACCAATCAAAAGTTTTAGAATTTTCTAAAAAATTTTGTTCGATTGGTAATTGTACCATTTTTGATTTTTTCACAATTTCTGTTGCATAATATTCATTATTATTATCATTAATATTTTTATTGATTATTTGTTTATTATTTTTCCATTTAATATTTGGTTCATATTTTAATATATTTTGTCCATTTATATGAGATATATTAAATTGAATGATGATTACAAATATATATAGATATAGAAACATTGAATATTGTTTAATTTGTTTAAATTTATTAATTAAACAATTAAATAAAACTTCTTTCATGAACATTTGTTTATTGAATATAAATTTGTTTTATTTTATTAAAAAAACATTAAAATGGAATGTACAGAAGAAAAAAAAGTAAATGTTGATGAACTTTATTGATAAATAAAATAAAATGACTTTTTGTTTTGTTTTTGCCTTTTTTTATTATTGACTTTTAAAATAAAATGTGCTGTAAAGAGGTAATCATAGAAACAATGTGTAAATAGAATATATTTGCTAGTGAATTTTGTTTTAAGATTAATTAATATGCTAAGGATTAGACAACAAATAAATAAATAAATAAAAATTAGACTATAAATATTTTTAACCAATCAGTGTAGTCTAATAATTAACCAATCAAATAAGTATGTGAATTATATTTGTATAAACTATGAATGGATGTTTGGGATTTACATTCACTTATAACTTTTAATATAGTCTGATGAGAAAATTTAATAGGAAATATAAGCAAAGATGAATAGTGGTTAGCAGTGAATTAAGGAAATATTTAGGTGATACGCACAGGATGCATATGTTTTAATAAGAGACTGATCAATTGAAGTGCTAAACATTAATGAGAAGATTTAAATAAATGATACAAAATGAATTTAAACTTCACCCCGTTGCACGAGCAAGTGGCTATAAGGACTCAGTGGCTAAGGCGATAAGGCGATGGTGTTTGAAGCGAACGGTACTCAGATCGAATCCTGGAGTGAGCATTAACTCTGGGATGCAGGTACATCTAACTGACGGGTCCCAAATAGGATGAAGCTTGCGTCCTGAATTCCACTGCTAGCCACTATCCATCTTTGCTTATAATGCTTGTGAATTAAGGAAATATCGAAGCAATACGCACAGTATGCACATATGTCAATAAGAGACTGATGAATTGCAGTGCTAAACATTAATGGGAAGTGATATGACGGGAAGAAAAGTAAAGATTCGATTGATTTAATCATTATGAGTTTTGTTCAACATTATTCCCGTTTTAATTCAATGTGATGATTACTCAATGTAGTATCTGTTTCTATTTTCCTGTGTGATCTTTTATTCTATGTATAACAGACATTATTCTTGCATTAAATTAACATGAACTGTACTCAGAATATGATTTGTTATAACTCTAAGTACTTTTCATATATGTGATTTCATTCTAATTACTAATCAAAATGGGTGTACAATCAATATATAAATGAGTGTACTTTTGATTAGGGTTGTAGCGGTCATCGTTGCCGTGTTTTGGGGTTTAATGAAGCATCACTTATACCAGTCTTTGTGTTCTTACTTTCACATCGTGGGAATTGCCAAGGTCCCTCGTTTCAAGTACAAGTGATAAGCGTTCCCGACATAACAATCAGCGATGACTAGATATCATAAGTAGCGTTCAATCGACAAGACATATCGAGAAGATTCAAGTAAAATAATACCAAGTGAGTTTAAAAGGAAATATGTTTGTATATTTGAAAGGGTTTTGTGGAGATCACATTAATTTGTGAATTTTTTTGTTCACTGATCGATTGCAGTTGAATAATTATTAAAAACTAGGGACGGCTGTTTCGTCCTGGCATGAGGTTCTTCAAAAGTGCTTATCCACTACCCTTCCAAAGATCAAAGTTTAGACATTGTAATTATATATATATATATATATATATATATATATATATATATATATATATATATAATTTCCGAAAATGTCTAAAAAATTATATTAGAAACTTAGTGCTTCAGTTTGTTTATTTCAGGAATTTAAGGATTTTTTGAATGGATTACTTCTATTTATGATATCTGCAAAGTTGGTATTTGCTCACTACCCAAAATCAGTCTAAAGGCTGCATTGCATATTGGCTGTTCACTGATGTCATATCGTAAACGTACGTGGTACGTATTTCAAGGTATCTACATGAAAGCACCTAATATAAGTCCACTGTTAGTATACAACCAAAAAGAAGGTATTTGTACAGTATTTTGAAGACTGACGTTCTCTACAGGTTTTGAACTTAGGTAACATATCGTTACTGCCAGAGATATTAGGATTAAACTATGTCGTAAGTGCTCCTTTAAATGAACAAAATCCTTATATACTAACTGATAATTTACTGGTAATAAGTATCATGTTGTTTATTCCTTAATGCTGACTGAATTCTATCGATCAAGTTATAGTAAGGTTACCAATCGATATGTTAATGCACTTTGTGGCATCAAATCGACAAATCTTACTAATGTATACTTTCTTTACTTGGTAAGGTATTTTCTTATGCTACTGATCTAGATAATAAATAAATGAAAAGGATCGAAACATTCAATTTTACTAATATGACCTTCTGACCTTATTCAAGATTTCCTTATATTAATCAAAATAAAAGATGATTCACAATCTTCTGTTTTAACTAGCTAAACAGGTTAAGACCATAAGTAGAGGGAAGGAGATAATAACTATTTATTGCATCGGATGAGGAAACACTGTCATTACCAATAATATATATAAATGACCATTCCATTTTGTAAACCACACTAAAACTATCTATTAAATAAATATACTCCTTAAGCTGAGTTTAAAATTTTCACTTTTTAAAATAAATATTAATTTTATCAGAATTGGTGTTCGTGGAGATTGTAGTAATTTAATCATTGAATTAATGAGTCGATTTAAGCTAAGCCACCATGGAAAACCTGGAAGCATTGAATGTCCGTTTCGTCCTAGTATGGGACTCCTCAATAATGCGTATCCACCATCCCGCACGCGGCTTCAAGATGTATTTCCTGGAGTTCTAGTGAGAAACCACAACCAGTGGAGTTCAACCAGGACTGTTATGAGATAGTAACTCACTGAAGACAATGGTGGACGGTGACGCGATCTCGTAGACTGGTTGAAGTTAGACATCTTCAGATGCCGGCTCAGTAGTTTAGAGATTAAGCGTTCGCGCACGAGAATGATAGGTCCTAGGATCGAATCTCGCTAGGTGGGATCGTGGATGCGCACTGTAGAGGAATCACATACTAGGACGAAACGGCCATACAATACTTTTAGGTTTTCCATGATGGCCTAGATTAAATCGACTCATGAATTCAACGGTTGAAAATTAATTTGTCAACCACAATTTATTTCGGTTTTCAAAGTTAGGTAACGTTCAATTTTTCTTGTATCAAATTAAATTAATTCTAATTATAAATAATGATTAAAAGAAAACCTTAATTAAGAAAAATGATCTCTGACATCTCTTGTTTCAGTTCTTGCACCATCAATTAGTTTAAAGGTGCTGATTACTGTTAGATAATAAACGATAAATTAAGGAGTTTCGTCATTCACATTTCATTGATAATTTGCCAAATATGATATAATATCTTTAGTAAATTTACTTAAGCTTAATATTATATACTTTCATTAAATGATTCATGAAATAAATCCTTACCTTAGCTGTACAACAAATAACTTCCTGAAGTATGGACTGATATTATTGTCTAGAATAACAATGAAAGTTTGACAAATAAACCATCCAGATTAGATAACTTTTCTAAAATTCTCCGCTTAAGCTATCAATCTTCATCAATATCATGATTCCTTTCCCAAATTAATCAATTATATAAATATTACATAGACGTATTAGTCTATTAATTTTGATAACAATAGACATTTGTGATAATAGTTTGGTTAACGATGAGTAAGTAATATGAAATGTAAATAAATGAACTGATTAAGTTACATGTGTTGAATTCCGAACGATAATGTTGTATAGTCTAAATCAGTCATATAAACAATAGTTTAAAAATCCACATAGAGTATTCAAAAATGAAGAATATTTGGGCGAACAATTGTTTTGAATAACTTCATCATTAGGATCTACAGTTATAAGTCCATAATTATGATATTTTACAAAGGCCAAAACAAGGCATGTATTAATGAATTTGACAATGTTATGTTAAAAATGGTGAACGTTTGCATCTGTTACGATATATATACCTCAAAATTGTATTGTTTGCAAACTAGAAAGGTCATTCAATAAAGGTCAGAATGATTTAGAGTAAAGTATCCAGTCACAATAAGTAGAATAGCATTATAGCAAAAATGAAAATGTAAAAAATTGTTTGCATAAAATGTATAGTAGGAGAGTTTAATCTTGCCAGTCGGGATAATAATAATATTGTTGTGTCAATATAATATGTAATAAGGGGGGTGTTATCAAGGTAATCACGATAAACGAATTAGGAATGATGGATGTGAAGATTAAGATAGAAGTAATTAAAAAAAAGGGAGTAAGATGTTTATAATATTCAGTTTAGGTATCCGGTGATCCAGTCGTGGGCCAAGGTAATCCTAGAGGCTGGACACATAAGTCCGGTTTTCTGGAGTTGATCCAGATGGCTTCAGCTGTGTAGAGCAATCGTAATCTAGCTCCTTGAGGTAGATATTTTGGAACTTGATATAAAACAGAGAAAGCTCCCTCTATTTTGATATGATGTTCACTATCTACCAAGTGAGAAAGAATAGTGCTGTTAATCAATTTAGTAACTCCTTTTCCCAACCATACTGGTACATGTTCATGAACATGTAAGGATAAAGCCCTCTGAGTACGGCCTATGCAACAAGCTCCACAGGAGCAGTTGAATCGATATACACACATGGAGGAGCCCATCTTCAGTAACCTATCCTTGATTAGTTATGTGAGTACTAGTTTAGTTGAGAACATTATGTGTAGCTTGGCAGCGTGAAACGTCCTTTCGACATATCTTTTGAGTCGACGTGTTAAAATATCACCCACTATGTCCCCCTTAAAGTC